GAGCGTGCCCGCTTTAAAGGGTTAAACAGCATAGATACTGTACAGTTTGTGTTTCGGAATAAACTAAACGCTTCACTTTTCAACAGTCTTTCCACTTATTCTGTCTCAGTGTGTTTGTACCAATACTTACAGTCTGGCAGTATGTCCTGAAGCTAAAGGGCGCCTCATCATCATCATCAACAAACTTCCTCTTGAAGTATGCGATCCTCGACATTGAAATATGATCAGGAACTCGTCTGCAGGATGACTCTGCGCAGAGAGGGAGAGAGAATATCACCATTAATCATTTGCACTGATGAACTATAAGTTTTCACCATTACTGCGTGACATCAGCTAACATTAATCACCGACTGAACATAGAATATTTAGACTCCTGCTCCTTAAAGGAACAGTTCCCAGCCTGTCGTGCTGTTTATCCAGCTGGATTATTTCATGTGAGGTGCCCAGTTTTGTAGAAATCCACAGTAGAGATATCCACCTTCTGTTGAATATATTGGACGCAGCTGGCACGTGGTATCATGCCAAAAGTACATCTGAAAGAGTCAGCAGCGGTGTCTCTTTTTAGAACCTATGACACGGTTACTAAACAAATCCACAAACCTTGCAGTTGCCTTTAAAATACATAAAACTACTCACAACAATGTTTGCGGAGCTGATTTGTTATATATTTATTTGAGTGATCAGGTCTCGTGATTTCTGCAAAGAGACACTGCTGCTGTATTTCGGGTCGCTTTAAGCACTGCAAGCTTGAGTGTCATCTGCCTCGTATGCGAGCGAAAAGAGACATCTCTGTATCTCCAACACTACGTGACTCACACCTGAATAATCTAGATTTATAAACAGCACCACAGGCCAGAGGCAAAAACAGATCAATTTGATTTTGGGGTAAACTGTCCCTGCAGGCGTTTATGCAGAAGCCAAAAATAGTAAATATAAATGAAATATTTTTAAACTGAAATTAATGTGCACACTATGGGGATGTTTAAGACACTGAAATACATGTTAAGATTTCAGAAGTGCCAAAGAGAGACACAGAAACTTTGTGAGGCGACCC